CAGATGTGGTGGGGGAGGGGGAGACTCTCTTTCTGTGTGCCAGGCAAGGCAGTTACAATACTGGCCCTAAGGCCAGCTGCTTTTCACCTCACAGTATGTCTTTTCTCTGTGTGCAGCAGTCTTAAATGAAACTAATCATATAAAATAAAAATATACTGAGTCTGGGTTTCTGACCCATTCCTAAAGCAGGGCCAAGAGTGCAAACAAAGGAAATGGTGAGGAGTTACTTACATCCATGGAGTAATGCTCAATCTGATAGATGGTGGTCAGCCCCTGGGTCGTGAAATAATCCACACAGGATGAGCAGCCCAACCTCGCTAAGAAGCTGCAGAGGAGGAAGGAAGGAAGGAGAGAGAAAAAGGATCACCCTGGCTGCAACAGCCCAAACCACAGAAAAACCAAACACTCAGCCAACCTGCAGCAACAGGAAACAAAGCTTTCACCCTTGGCTTGACCTTCTCCAAGACGTCCCAGGCCAGCAAGTCACATTACTGCCACATCAAACAAATGAGGGAGTCCTTCAGCTCAGCATCTAACAGACAACCCTTGTGGCAGCACCTTGCCTTAGTCGAGAGCCAGTGCTGCACAGCCTGGATCTTGGGAGAGGAAGGCTTACATGGACCATCCTGCCAGGTCACTTCACCCAGAAGGCAGCTGAGCCCATGGCAGCCTGCTGCATGGATAGAGGGCTTCAGCAAGGCAATGGGTCTGGGGCTCAGACACATCATGCACACAAAGTACTTCAAGTCATCACATTCCTCCCTAAGCGTAAAAGATTCCTCCTTCGTGGGCAGCATCTTTCAACCTGTTTGATTTCACGGAGGGCAAAGGAGCTTCTGAACCCAGCCATGGGTTGTCTCAGGTGGCCAAAGGGGGAAAAAAGACAAAACAAAAAAAGATAAAAGAAATGTTTGCAAAGACTGCCTGGCACCCTCAGCTCCACCAGTCCAACAGATGCTGTATCCCTTGGCTTCTTGCAGTCCTAACATCCCTATTTGTCTCAGCTGCTCAGAGGTGGGGGTTAGAGGCTTGGTCCCAGCCCCAGGACTTCCAAGACCCACTGGGATCCAGTGCTCCAGGAGAACAGGTCAAGGGACCTGGCAGGACCCTTCAAGACCCCTGACATGAGGCCTCTGCTCCCTGTGGGTGGGAAATGTGCACTGGGCAGCCTGCTCCCGCTCACCTGACGATGCTGCAGTCTGTGGGGTACGGAGGAGGGGGGGTGCAGTGGGACGTTGAAGGCATGGAGAGGGGAGGAGGCAGCGCCTGCGTGGGGCTGAGGCCATTCATGTCACCGGTCATGGCCATGTGGGTGCCCATCATGGGAACTGGAGGAGAGAAGGAGGAGCACATTGTTACCCAGGCATCCCTGGACCCCAGCTTCACCCCCAGCACAGCACCAGAGGACAGCACCCACTGACAAAGCAGCTTTAAATCTCCTGCAAAGCCCCGCATGGAGCAAGCTCAAGGGGAATTTCAGGCAGGGCTGCAGTCTGCACAAGGACTAAATGGCAGTCAGTCCTTTAGAAGCTCTCCCCTCGCTGGAACAACAGTCGGCGGCAGCACTGCCGCATCGCCTTCCCTTACAAACAGGCTCAGTAGAAACCTAAGCAACTAAGCAAGCCTCATCTCAGCTTTCCTTGCCGCAGGAGGGGAGCAGGACAGAGCCAGCAGAGTAACCCAATACAGAAGCCAAACAGCTTTGTTTTCAAAGACACCAAGAGCAGCCAAAGGCGATCAGCAACAGGTGTGGGCAAGGGTCCAGTGCTTTTGAAATTAAAAAAAAGGGCAGCAAAACTCAGCCCCCAGAACCATGTCTGTCATCCCAGATTTACAGGGCTGCTGGGCACTCTTCAGCAGCCAGGAGGAAGCGGGTTACAGAGCTGCGAGATACAGATATTTCCTTTGAAACTAAGACGCGTCTTAATTGAACCGAAGGAAAAAACTGTTTGCCAACATTTGCATCTCCTCCGCTGGGATAGGAAGAAGAAACAAGTCTTGAAAGACAGATGACAGTGAAGCCAGCCAGATGTGCAGCAAGAAGTAGCTCTGTTCATCTCTGTGAAGCTTAGAGCAGGATGCTGAAGCCTTGCCCTGTGGCACAGCAATGAGCAATATTTGGCTCTGCAGGTTTCCAGCAATTACTCCCGGCTCCCCAGCCTAACACTAGACACTTTGAGATGCCAAGTCTTCTTGCCCAGACTAGTGGGGAGCACACATAGAACAGGAGAAGAAGCAGTGAGGGTTTCTTACTGTTGGTTCCCATGCCGTCAGGGATGGTGGTTGGGGTCAGGGCATTGCGCTGCTGGGGGTTAATTAGCTGGCTGACCGAGGGCAGCTTGTTCATGCTGTTCATTTTGCTCAGTGGTGGAGAGTTGGAGCCATAGGATGACTGTGACTGCATGGAGGTCCTGCAAACCAAGGAGATGTTAGGACAGGAATCACAGCAGTTGGCTGTTAAGAGTACGCATCCAATGGCCTATGTTTGCTGTTTGTGGCAGCAGTGACCTGCTACTGAAATCGCTGACAGCATAGGAGCATTGCAGATAAAGATCACTGAAGAGAGAGAGTCAAGGGTACATAAGAAGTTTCCCAGATCTGCTGGACATTTATAAAACAAATAGTGAAACATTGACAAAGGGAAGCTTCACTTTCAGTTCAAATTTTTTATTTAAGGAAAGGTTTTTAAGTTTTTCAGTTGAAAACAACGTAAGCAAAGCCAGCAAACAGCTGCCAAAACTTAAAATGAGTATTTTTAAGTTAAGCTTTCCTGGTAGTCAAAGACTTTTTCACAAGAACAAGAACTGAGGAAGCCATCCCAAACCATTTTAACTACCCCTATAACCTGACTGCAGAAACATTTTTCAGATTGAGTCACATTTATTTCCTTAGTTCCTCCAAATTGCTAGTTATTCATATAATCAGATTGTTATCAGGCATAAGTATAACTGCCAGAGGCTCTTTGCTCAAGACAGACTTCATGCACCTTAGGGACCACTGCTGAGATGGTCAGAGCTGCCTGGGACACTAACATACAGCTTTTGCTGGTATTAAGGAGAACCTGGTAACCAAACCCCACAGGCTGCTTGCAAAGAGTATCAGATTCCAGCCACTTGACAACAGCACTAGCCTTCCTCAAGTCTAGACAGTCCCAAACTCCATCCAGCATACCTGTGAACCAGGCCAGAGAGGCTTGCTGCCGAGCTCCCCCCTACCCAGCCCCAAAGGCCCCAGTTGCAATCCTTCCTTGTGAGCCATCCCAAGCATGAAGACCAGGCTGCTTCTGAACGGCAGCCCGGTTCCCAGATTGAGTTACGCTGCGACATCCCATCTGGAGTGGGGTCTTACTTGGGATATGCCGAAAATTATCATTAAAACGGGTCCAACTGGCAGAGCACCACCATGCTACAAGAGAGCAGGTTTTTCTCTCTCTGACACCAGGGGCATTTGCAAGACTGGGCAAAGGTGCTGGGGAAGCAGGCGTGCTTCACACACACAATCCATGCTTGTCCCGCAGAGCTGAGGTCACCCAGCTTGCCACAGAGCCTGGCGCTTGTTCAGCCATATCACTGTGACCCCCCAGAGAATGTGCAAAGGCGCAGTCCCATCTTATTTCCCATTGGGAAACTTGTTTGTCTGGGTATAACTGGTTACACCAATTCCTGAGAACTGGCTTTCCTTCTATGCAAAGAGAATAGTTATTACTTCAAATAAGCACAGTGTAAAAGGAAAGAAAAGGCTTATACCTAGATAATTTATTAAAACCTGCAGCACTCAAGGTCAAGTTTCATACAATTACGTTGTCTCCAGCTTCCTGCACTTTTAAGACTTGCAGTGTTGGGTGGAGAAAACATCTATGCTAACAGGCTAGAGTATCTAAGGCCCTGAAGAAATATTACCTAATTACACAATTACAGGAGGTACAGAAGGGTGTGAACTGTCCTTTGGCAGTGAAGATGCAGGACAAGATCCAGCAAACTTCATAGACTCAAGGAAGTGGAAAGCACAAGAAGCTTCACAAATTAATATTAATGATGGCAGCAACTCCCAAGGGGAAGTGAAACTGAGCCATGAAGTTCAGACCCAACTTTTCAGGGTGAAGAGAACGATTCAGATCTGAGGTGTCAATTCACCAATCATGAAAGTTGAGGCCAGCCATGAAATTCAAGTCAGGTTTGACACCACCCTTAACCTAAGAGGCTTCTGGATTTAGGACCAGAATTACTATTTCTACTTTACAGGTTCAGGCACCTATCTTAACTGAGCTTCAGCTGAAATTAATGGACACATAGTCTCTTACAGCAAAATCTGCATGATATGCAAGTGAGGAGGTCACCATGTACACAGTGAAATTCCAAATCAAAGACTTCCCAAAATAGACTTAGTTGCATTGTTTAAGCTCAGGGCAGATTTTGTTTAGAGAGTTCCTCACTAGAAACATTTGGGTTTTTGCTAAGGATGCCTGTTGCTGAAACAAGATTCCCCAAGGAGGTCAGTAGTGGGCCTAACTCTGCCATCTCCACCAACACTGATCTCAGCAAAGCTAGTCAGGAGACTAGAAAACACTTTGGGGATTTAAAATAAGAATAAAAAGATGGCTGGACACAAGCCAACCCAAAGCAATCTACACTATAGAAAACAAATGCATACTTTAACATACAGCTTAAGGACTCCATTCTTATCTCATTCATACTCTTAAGAATCAAGATAAAGACAATCAAGCTCAAGTGAATAAAATGGGAAAATAAAGCACTTTTCTTCATACCCATACTCGTTTCAACTCAGCTATTCCATCGCATGAGCAGACGTGTAAAAGGTCTGGAGAAAGCCGTCTAGTCAAAGAGAAGTCCCAAGATAAACCAAGATGCAAAATTTTATTGAAAATGAATGTCACACATCAATATAGCAACAGCCTCAGAAACATGAGAAAATGGTTTGGTATTGAACACACAGACTACATGGTGTTTGAGGATTCATTTAAAATATATTTCTTTTTTTTTTTTTTCCTCCTTTTTTAAAAAAACCTCAGGTATCAGAAGAATATCATGCACAGTGATTTCCATTAAAGCTATACTTACTATGTCTCAAGAAAGATTAGAAGTAGGACCATTAACATTTCTTTGATTTCATTGCCAATGAAATGCATTTTAATATCAAGGTATAAGGACTTCAATTAAGAGACTATTATGCTTCTTGGAACAGTCTGATATGAAAGGCACTGAGTCACATTCTGCAACTGATATTTCGCCCTTCAAGAGGCTATGTAATTATTTAGCCAATAACATTTGTACTTATGCAAGCTTATATGAAGGCGATTGCCTGTCATGCTTCAAGGCATATAACGATCATCTCAAGAGGTCAGGAAGGAAATTCCTTTTCCCACATAAGAAGCACAGTTCAGTTCACAAGTTACCTTATATAATTCTGCATTTTCCCAGCTCACTGGATATCAGCCCTTCACGAGAGGTAGGAAACTACTTGGATAGACCAATTACCTGATTCAGTAGGCAACTCCCAGAGTCCTCATTCACATTAGATGAGCACACCATCATGTAAGCAGCCTTAATGCAAATGACATCAAAGGTTCATTTTGAATAGGGCAGCTCAGGCTCAGAGAATTTAAGATTTCACCCAAGCCCTTGTGCTTCCACTTTTTTATCCCTGAAGACATAGAGCTAGTCACAATTCAGAGACACTCAAGTAGATTCAAAGCTATCCAGTTCTGGGCCTGCCTTTCCTTACACTACTCACAGCAAGAGCAACAGGGATTACGTCCCAAGCTCATACATGGTCAACGTGACCATCGGCAACATTTTTTTCAAGTAAGGTTGCCCACTGGGCTGTCACTGATGTGGCCTAGTAATGGCACACAAGTGAGAGAGATAATGCTCAGTTGCACTCACCACTTTGAAGGCCCATGAAGTGAGACACTAAAAAGCAGAGCAATGCCCTTGCTTTCCACATCTCTAACAGCTGTTATTCTAAAGCAAGAAATAGTGCATCTTTTCAACCACACAAGTGGTTTGTAGACTTAGGACAAGCTATTGTGTAAGTGGGAGCATGGAAAGGAGGAGCCCTGATGGTCACTAGGAAGACAGCAACTACATCAGAGGGGCAAGGGTGGCAGTAACGACTCCTCTTAGATTTCAGGTATGGGAATTTCCCATGGCAGGCAGCAGATGCGATCTGCTCTCCAGGAAATGGAGCTATGATGCAGGGAGTGGATATACATCAACAATGTGGTATGATACAACCTGACTGACTGATAAGGCCCTACTATTCCACTCTGTTATTCCTTGAAAGGAAAAGGCTTTTCCAAAGCCCCATAGATGACAAAGAAGCAATCAAAAGACAAAGTTTTCTTCTTTTATCTGCAGAGGACAGACTATGAAGCAACTCCAATCACTTCAAGCTTCAGGTCATGTGATTAAAAAAACCCCAAAAACCTCCTTCTAAGATAACCACCTTGTAGCTGGAGAGCACATCAAGTCACCATTAAGACCAGCTTCACTATCATCATCCCCTTATAGTTGGGGGGGGACAAATTAGGAAGCCCTTTCAGAGGACCAGTAGGATTCCAATTATTTAGCTTCCTATTTGGTGGAAGTCTCAGGTGTCCTATTGCCCATTATGATACAAAAGACTTCCTAGAGGTCAGACCAGATGATGAACTGGAGCATGAGCCGGATCTCCTGGTATGGGTTTGTGGATACCTTGTACCTTTTGGTGGGCTGCCTCCTCAAACTTGCTCATGGATAGGCTCTAGAGCAGAGGTCTAGATACAGGTCTGTGTGTGTTTGTTGCAATATTTCAGTATTGCCACCCACAAGTTGACAAGACCAATATCCAGGAATAAGCCTTCATTGGAAGGACAGATTGAAAATGCCATAATCCTGCATCTGGGCTTCATTTGCAGTTCAGGTTCCCACCTCTCACAGAAGAAGGAATGGCCATTCTTCTCACAAATAAAAAGGCACAGAGCAATAGTTACCTGCTTTGTAATCTTGAAGTCCTCCCTGAAGTTTCCAGGCAAAGTAGAGAGGTGCTTGATTTGGTTACACAAGGAACAATGGTAAATCTGCAGCTATATGAAAAAAATCACTGCTAGTGCTAAATTAGTTATTATTTATACTAAATCACAGTTTCTGGGGCTCTTCTCCATCAGCTCTCCCCCACACTGGTATGGTAGAACAAGTCTTGCTAAGACTACGAAGGAGATACCCAGAGATGGGATATGGCTCCCAAAGGAGATGTTAGTACGAGTCATCACCTGCTCAGATCACAGCTCTGCTGCCTGGAAGCAGATGACGTGATGTTCAGAGATAAAAGTCTTCTCCCATTGCATCAGGCTTTTTTCCTTGGTGGGTGGCCAGGAGGCTCGCTCTGCATTTGGGAGGCACCTTCTCTTCAG